AGAATACCCGAGCTCTAATAGGTAAAATACCGGTACAACAGAACAGGCTTTATTGACCAATCACAAGCCAGAGCCATGCGTCAGGCGCCTTCCATCCGAGTCCACCACGCTGGCCACGCCACTCATTATATACTGCATCTCATCCATGTCCTTCTCTGGTTGGCTGCCTTCCTTTCCCGCATGCCATTGGATCGCAGAGAGACACAGGATTGGCTAAGGCCAGGTGGCCCAACATGTCTGCGTTCTAATCCGACGCTACACCACACCTCTCCACACAATCCTACACTACAGCTGTTTTATGTCACCGGTTTCCAAACGTATGTTCTGAATGTTTAAGTCTCATGCTTTTGTATTTGATTTGCAGTTTGTGTGAAGGATGTGTAGGAAGTGAATCTAATGAGCCTCATGAAAATTATATGATATTGTAGGGCCTTCAGTTACAGGCTTGTGTAGTTTATTTTAGAAATTAACTCAACAGACACATTGGATATTTTAATTGTGTTCTGGTGAGCTTTTTCTGTTTGCGACACGATTTTCGGAACTCCATGCTCTTAAAAAAATTTAGAACCAACCGCAAGTAATTCGTGATTTTCTCTGTTCTTTTATCTTGACATTGCCAGTTTATGGTCACTTTGTAAATTTGACAAGGTCTGCCATGCGTTGTGGTTTTTTATATACTCGATATTGTTAATATGCTGTAATTATTGAAGGCCACTATTAATGCTCCACCACCTTGTTTTTTATTTATTCAATTGTATTTTTGTTCCAAAGCTCACAATTTAACTCCGCAACAGTTGATGCGAGTATTATTTCTAACAATGACTAATTTTAGTTTGTAAGCTGCGCAAAGCTTACTGGTCTCCTAGTTACCTTATTTAATTTCCCGGTAACGCTGCTTCTTGTTTGCATCACAAGAGTTCACCACTGTTTCACGCAAAACTAATTCCATTTAAAACTTGCAAACCTTACAATATTCTTCCGCAATCGTGTGTTGGGTCACGTGCTCCCGTGGCTTATGTCACTTGAGTTAATCATCGGACAAATGCTGAGAAAAATAATTTTAAAAGTTATTTTCCCTCCAACTCAAATTTCTCTGCAAATCAAGGCAATGTTCGTCACAGCTTGTCCTCATTTCCGGCCGTACAGGCGCTAATTTATATCATGTATCTCTAATGCCCAGTGTGAAATGAACACTCGACACGCTGAAACGTCCTCTCTCGCATCATGTAATAAGTGTTTCCATTTCTCTTGGGTGTTCAAAATGTCACGGTATTGTTTATTACCTCCATCGGGTCCACAAATTACTTATGGACGTCTTGATTACAAATCGATTGTTTAATTTTTTTGCGGTCTTCAGTCATTCAGTCTTTCTTTTGAAGGTGAGCCAGTATCCACTCGTTTTACACCGACACCAGAGAAGCTTATTGGATGGCTCAACCTGTCTCTGTGTGCACACAGGGTTGTGTAAACTTGTGGTCTCAGGCATGTCTGTTTTATCAATGGGAATCCTATTAAAAGCGTGAATGTGTGAACCCAGGCCTACGTGCATCCACTTCTAGATTGCTTTTCGTCGCTTTTAGACGGCAAGTTGGCGAAATACAGCTCTCTGGTGTTCCTCACCCTCCAGAATGTGGTTCTGGTCCTGCTCTCACGGTACGTGCGTTCCCGCCCCGGTGACATGTTCATCTCCTGCACGGCCGTAGTAATGAGCGAGGTAGTTAAGTTTGTGGTGTGTCTGTGCTTGGTGCTCTTTGTGGAGGAGGGTGGACGTCTGCGTGGCTTCCTTGGAAGCATCCGAGACAACCTCCTCACCGATTGGCGCGACAACCTCCTTATCGGCGTGCCAGGCATTGTCTATGCCATCCAAAACAACCTCCTCTACATCGGTGTCTCACACTTGAATCCCAGTGTCTTTCAGGTAAGTTGGCGTGTCTACTTATTGCTTGACAACCTCTGTGCTCCCTAGGAAAGGTCATTTGTTGATCCAAGATTACCTAGGCAACTGAACGCCCCAAATAATCGTGTTAATAGAGCGGATGTGTGCTCGTTCTGAGCTTTGACACACCTGGGGTCAACTGCGCTGCAAAATAAATACCTTTACAAGTGTATAAACACCGAGCGATTATGCAGAAGATCGTTAAATTTCGTTTCCGTTTGTCGCACATCCCTGAAACGTGTGCTCTTAATTGTTGATTGACAGTTATCTAAATGCGTCATAAATCGGCCCAGTGTAAGTAAACCCCGCTTAAGCAATATCGGGTGTACGCGCTGAAATAGAAGAACAAAAATATTCCATTACGGTAGAGGTTATTGCAAAAAATAAATAAATAAATTTTACGACGATAATTACAGTAAACAGTAAATACACACACCAAACACAGTCGCCTACGACGATTGAGGTCTTTCAATAGTGTTCCAGCAAATCTATTCCCGTAAAACAAAGGATCCAACGGGAGTAACATGACAATTGTCGCAGTTAATTTGTGCAAGGTTGGTATTCAACATTGAAGACAAAACTGGTCATTTTTATCGTGTGAAGTTAAAGGAATTTGAAGACACTTCGACTACATTTTGCCGTTTAAAACAACACGGATACACGTCGAAACCTAATGTTCCATACATTTTGGCTGAACGGCACAAACAACCGCGTTACCACAGACATTTCTCCTCTATTGTTTTTTCTAGGACCTAGTCATAACTGCAGATCGCAAACGGTTTTGTTGTGGGCCCCAGCATGTGGTCTTGAACCACGCCGGGGCCAGGGAATTAACCCTGGCCCGATTACGCTTTCCTGATACCCGCAATGAAGAAAAAGATCGGAGAGGACGTGGACACAACCGTTTACCTCTGAGCTCAACCTCGTTGGTGTCGTTGTGTCGTGTGAGGGATTTGCACGTGTGTATTTATACCTCAGATGCCTGAGTCATACATGTGCTAACATCGAGATCTAGGTTTAGGGATAATCCATGTGAATGAGAGGGGAGGAGTTGAGGATCCGCGCGGCTGGCGACATGCTGCGAAAAGGGGAATCCTGTGTTGGAGGTGGAGCGACCGCATTAAGGGTTGTGAATAAACACGATTCACAACAGTTTGTGATCAGCAGCAGAATCTGCCTTAACCGCTGAATTTCTGCATCCAATGAAAGTGTTGGTGTGTGTGTTTGATGAGGAGATCGTGGTGGAATACATTGAATCGCAGTCCTTTAGACAACTGCAAAGCAGTTGTCTAAAGGACTGCATTCCCAATCTAGCGTTGAATTACAAACAAAGTGTGCAAATCTTGTCAATTTTGAAGGCGTCATCCCGCGTTCTGACTACGTCAAACTACATCTCGCTCAACTCTTATTGTAAAAACGTGGGAAAGGAAAGTGCGAAGTCCTCCCACAATCTCGTGCCCTCAGAATTTCGTCTTTTAGTTATATAAAAAAATTTGAGTGGCAAAACGTCTAATGTCGGTTTGAAACGCCTATCTGAGCGCCACTTCTAGCCCATTCATTGAATTCGGCTTACCGCTTCACTTTGCCATCATTTCAGGTAACCTACCAACTCAAGGTGTTTACGACCGTGCTGTTCTTCCGTGTCCTGCTTCATCGAGTGCTCACCTCGAAGCACTGGCTCGCGCTCGGCTGCCTCTTTGTCGGGGTCGTCACGGCACAGATCGACCCCGCCAACGCGAGCTCCGCCCTTGTCGGTCGGCCGGGCCAGAACCCGCTGATCGGCCTCACCGTTGTCATTGTCGCCTGTGTGCTGTCCGGCTTCGCTGGGGTCTTCTTCGAGCTGATGCTGAAGTCGACCAAGAAGTCCATTGTTATGCGCAACATCCAGCTCTCTGTGTACGGCATAGTCGCGGGTCTGGTGCAGGTGTTCATTCAGGAGAAGGACATCGTCACCACAAAGGGCTTTTTCTTTGGCTACGACGGACTCGTGTGGCTGGTGATCTTTGTCCAGTCCCTGGGGGGTCTGCTGGTGGCAGCGGTGGTGCGCTACGCCGACAACATTCTCAAGACCTTCGCCACCTCTGTCGCCATTGTACTCACCCTGATCTGCTCCGTGGTTCTGTTTAACACACCGCTGACGATTATGCTGCTTGTAGGCAATATCCTGGTAATCGGCTCAACAGCCTTCTATGGCATCCTGCCACCTCCTGCCCTAAAAACTGAAGTGCCCTCGGACATGATCCCTCGATCTGACAACGCCGGCGAATCGCTCAAGCCGACGTAGGTGAAGAAAATCTCTTCTTGTTTTGTATTTTTATTTTCCTGCGCCTCCTTATTGTGGTTTTTGGTCTTCTGAAAATATTTGTGCATATGTTCGGGGTCATTCTGCGCATCAGGTACCAGTGTGGTTGGGCATGAAATTTGACATGTCTAGTTGGGGACGATGCATTAAGCGAAATTATTCGTACTCCCAAACCAATCCTCAACACACGGGCAAATTGTGCGTCAGACGTGGGCTGCACTGGGGTGAAAACGAAGTATGTTGATATAATGCTTTTATAATTGGCGATGTGCTTTAAATGCACAAGTATCTGTTAAAACCGGTAATGCATGTGACGGTTCGTCTTCTGAGTCACCTACGTGTTTGAGCAATTCGCTTACATTTATCAAAGGTTTATTCTTTAAAATGAGAATTTGGGTTTAATTCCTCAGAACCAATTGAATTGTTTTGCTGTGGATTTACAGCTGGAACTCTAGTCATACTCCTGTTTTTTTTTTCTGAAAACTGCTCAAACATCAAAAAAGGGGTTAACACTCAAACTGAAAGCTCTTTTTCAAGTTGACACATTACGAATTGAAGAGGAAAATTTTGCGCCAAGACAAGGAAAACTCAAGACAACGTGCAAGGGGATTTAGAAGCTCTGCCCTATTTTGGCCACTTGCAAATAAATCGGCATTTGTTTGTGATGACGTTTCTGATCTTGGTAAGACCACGTCTACAGCCATTTGGCACAGCCACTCCGTTGGATTTGAGGGTGTTTGTGTAAGTAAAACATTTGCTTCGAGGTCGTCTCATGCCAATGATTTGACATCGATGGAGAATTCAATAGTCGTTTTGTGTTTAGTTAAGTGAGGTCCATAAACCAATTGTATGTCTCGAAGAATATATTGTAGGGATTTGTCTGTTGCCTGACAAGCTGTCCAAACTGACGATATGATTATGAAAAGGATAGATGAAGTCAGGTCATAGCTACGGCAATTTAAAGTTAATGTCAATCACTGTGGGTTGTGGCGTTGTGCATGGGGAGAGCTGCAGCGTATTTGAATGACAGGTAAGCTCCGAATTAATTCAGTTATGCTTCACAAGCGTTGGCCCATTGCTTTAATCACTCCTCCAAAACAGATATTTGGAATTATTGATTGCATAAAACATTACCGCAAACTGTCACGTGTTTAAGGGGATTCCTTAAGATTAACTGTCACAATAGTACTTGTCATTGAGCTCTTGTTCGCTGTTATATTTCACTAATGCCTCTAGCAATACCCATTAAAGATTTAACAAGGCTTACGACATTCCTCAAACAAATTACGATTGACGTCAAGCAGAGCAGGATATTATCAGTGTTCCTAGTCGTACATGATTTTTATTGTTAAATATAAACAAATTTTGCTGAAGTCACAATAATTCAGAAATTATATCATCTGTTAGAAATAAGACTTCAGTGCTTTTATTCTTCTTACGCCATTTGGAAAAATCTTAAGTCAATAATATTATAAGAAATTAGATTTAAAATATTGTGGCTAGTTAATGAATCAAAAAGCACAATTTCCATAGGATTGTATGTACGAGGTTCAAAGTTTGATTGCAGATGCGACATAAAACTAGCTTTGATCAGATTTTACCTCTCTTTATTTACCATTGTCGTACATGAAATTATTTGAGCCAACTTTAGCCTGAATTATACTTTTGATGAGAAATATAAAACTAAATTATTTTTACTAATGTGAACGAAAACATTCATTCTATATAAATTTAAGCAGGGCGTTGTTATATAATAATAAGAGCAACTTTCTAGCTATTTAAATTAAACATGATCAATCCACAACGAGGGTTATTAGAAATTTGTTTCAGAAATGTCAAGGCCGCCAAAATTGGCCGCTTATTATGATTATCATGGGGTGATTTAAAACAACGTCGGTACTGCATTATAAATAAGTTAATACCTGTTGTACCTTAGTTTTGTTAATTACATTATAATATTAAGTTGATATTGATCTCTTAAAGGACATTTATTGTTGGTGGTACAGCACTTATTTTTATAAATGGCTGAGTGAAGTCAGAGCTCTTAGTCAATTTGCACCGCCAAAGAACCATTGGTAATCTCTTGTGTTCTCTGTATAAAATTAATTAAAACATGCAAACTGTCTTTTGGTTTTGAAATAGCCTAACAGTGGTCAGGGCAATGAGTCTTTTCTTATTTTTTTGCATATGCCTGTGACTGAATTGATAAATGTCGAATCGATCTGTTGAAGTTGTCTATTTTTGGTACGAAAATGAATTACTCTTTTTTGATATTGTAGGAATCGTGCGTTATGAAGTATTTATGCTTTATTTTTATTTTATTACATCAGTTCTCTTCGATTTTGTGTCATTTGGGATGCCGTGATGATCAAAACCAGCATGTTAATTGGTTTGTTCGTTTTTTTACTCTTTTCATCTTATTGCTTAGGTACATAGGATATAAGTTCCCCGACGGCTATTCATATGCCTATATAACTCCCAACCTTCCCGATTGGCGTCTTTCGAGTAATGATTTACGGAAAGATGGATTTCTTAAGAACACCTTTGATCAAATTTACAATAATACAAATGATTCTCTTGTTTTTGGAGTGTACAATGATGAGATGCCTTTGAATGTTACATGGCTGTTTGATATATGGTTTGGCCATATGAAAGGTGAGCTGTCTCCTTTTGGACGAGCAATGATGATGATGCTAACTAACATGAAACACATTCAACTCTTTTTTTAGGTCTGTTTGCCTTCTTTGAGAACAGTCAAGGTTTTTGGCTTATCCATAGTGTTCCCAAACTATCCATGAAGTCGGATGCATTCATTTATCCGGAGACGGGCAAGCATTATGCTCAGCACTTTCTATGCGTTTCTCTGGGTTATTCAGCTCTAGCTACGATCGGTAAGTCATTTTATCTAAACATTATAAGTTTGTTAATTCAAAATCATATATTGACTAATTATTTAGTGTTAGGTTTGTACTACTAATTGGTAGGGCACCATTTATAAATGTTTATTCCTACCCGTATATTAGTGCTTCTGATTCAATAATTCCATCCCAATTTTGCTGGAATCTGACCGTTTCAGCTGATCACTTGACAATAAGCAGGCCTCGAATTCAAGCCTACAAATTACCGGAATCAGTTGAAAAGTCGCTACCTGCGTTAAAGGATATCTTTGAACATCGCTATCGACGCGGCATTAATCAAACTCTTATTACAAGCCTCAACTCAACTGACGGAAGTCTAGATCTACGTCTGTTTAGCAAATCACACAAATTTAATCATGGTGAGTTTGTATTCTCTAAATATTGTTAAAGTGGCCCACGTATCTGCAAACTGTTGTGTACGTCGTCTGTTCAATGCGCCCCTAAATTTGAAAGCTGATTCCTGCCGCTTTAGCAGAAAAGGATTGTAGAATGTTGTCCACAAGGATTACGTTTGCAAAAATTCCGGCGAGAATAATACCATAATTTGGAAGTGAGAGCTTGCTCCGACGGTCAAACATCAATACCTAGTGAGATGTGACTAACGCAGTATGTAATATCACCCCGTAGAGTAAACGGCATCACGTTCTGCCAATTACACCAACTTCCAGACTTAACTCGTCGTCAGTAGTCAAAAGTGCCTGTAGCTCCTGGTTTTCGCAAGTTTTTTTTTTTCAATTCTGACTTTTTGCTTAAATCAGAGTTTAATAGACAACTTTCAGGAACTAGTGAAATCGACTTTACTGAATATAAAGTGCTGCGACGTTACCAAACTGTTTACATGTACTGGTAAGTTTATGTTATCAACAAACGCGTGAGCGTAGATATCTGTGATCGCGATGTGTCACCAAACTTGTGGTATACGACAAGCCTTGATTTTGTTCGGAAAATGCACAAAACTGATAATCTGAGTGCTCACACACTTAACGATTTCACACCAAATAATTACACATGTGTTATTCTAATCCAGTTTGCTAGTCGATTGCAACATTATCGATGATCTGTTTTAAATTTAACCGCGAACAAATTCAAGGTGAAATGAGCCAATGGGAGAAGCGCGGCCAAAATAAATTTTCACGTGGACACCGCCCAGTAGAGTTTTCGCGAATTCTGCTAAAACAAGACGGCGCGCATTTTATTGTGCAGATGTTGTAAATCACTAGAACTAAACTACATTAAACCCACAGAAGTCGACGAAAAGGTGCGGTCTGGCGTTGCCATGGTAAACCACACCGCTACTTCCTGGCTGTGGTGTGTGTTGGGAGGAGTAAGTAATGAATTATTACACAGCGGTAGTAAGACGGTCAAAGTAGTTATTCTAAAGCGACAGTTTAACGTAAATGTGCGTTCAATCGCCAGTGTTAATTTGCTATCACAGAAAAAAAAACAGATTTTAACTAATCACAACATATCAGATGTCAAATTTGCCCCCACGTCTAATTATTTTGATAACCGTATTGTCTAATCTTGCGTATTTTGACAGTTTGAGTAAGCAGACATTTATTTTCCTTAAATTTCTTTATTCCAGTTATCCTGTTCCATTCTCTGCAAAATAACCGGAATGGAGAAATTCTCTGACTACATTGTTTAGAGGAAACGAAAAGGAACGCCAAAATTTGTACTGCGTTGGCAGACAATTATAAAAAATATTGGAGAGTACCATTTTTTAAAGGGGAATGCACTTGAGCAAGCATTTGCAACCACTTGATGCGCCAATTCACAAAACCGCTCGAACAGTCAATTTTAGTCAAATCAACCATCTACCCAATCCGCTGCTTTTTTAGTTCTCTTTAAAAGATAAATATTGCAACGTAAAGCTGATCTTGTCGTAACCAACCAACCCTGATCGAAACATGCGTTAGTTCCGTTTTTAACTTCGAGAAGACAAATGTCTCATGAAGAGTCACTTCACTGCATGTCGTCTCGTTCGACACCTCCACGACACGTTCTCACACACTCATGCGACACGATTGGGTGTCAAGCGCCATGTCTGAGGTAGCCACGAGGACGCGACCACCGTCTGAGCGATGGTACAAGTGAACTTTGACAGCAGACATCTTGCTCAAGGTGGCTGTGTCTAGCCGGAGGGGGGTGGTAAGCAAGTGGCGAGTTTCTATGGCTGCAGTTATTTACGCAGACTACTAAACAGTGGGGCTTGTAAACCAATCAAAGACAGTGTTAATGTGCTGGCCCCACGTGGTAAGGGAGCCACAAGCGATTTCGCAAAGTCCAGTCCAACTGGGTAGTCACCCAGGCAGCAACTGACGCCTCTGTGCTAATTCTTGTGTCCATCTACAAACCCCACAGCGATACATTAGACGGTTGATTCAGCAGAGCTGGTTGTTTTAACGTACGATATGGCAAGGCATTTGGCGCTAGATTCATCATTATGTGGAAACACTAGCGTGGGCAAAATGAACTGTACTACATTTCAAAAAAGACACAAGTAGGTGAGATTATCTTGCCCATTTTGACGGTCGAACATTCGGCAATTGTCAAGTTGCCATTACTGCTTCTGTCAAACAAGCAAATACTTTCACTGGATTAATTTGCTGACAATCGCTTAGCATGTTGGTGGTCGAAAATGCTCCTTGAGGTTTAGACGTGAAGTGCAGTGGTTAGTGTGGTGACACCGAGGTAGACACTGTCGGCTGTGCTTCGACTACGGTGACACCTCATCAGATTCCAGCACATGATCTACGGCGAACCGTAGCCTGTCTGATGGTTGAGTCGTCGTCGGGAATAGGCACCCTCAACGCGTCTTCACAAATGCCTGTTTGCCTCTCCAGATTTGTACACCGATTTGGTTGCTCCGAACCTCGAGTCATCTCTCCTCACCGAGACGTGGAGACACACTCGTTCCAACCTCCCCTCGAACTGCACTCAAAACTATTCCGTAAGCCGATCTCTCCATGAAATAACCGTCTAGCAAGTAGTAATCGAATTCGTAAGTGGATCAGGTACAGGTGAATGGTATTCGTCTTTACCAGGCTTACACACCAACTCTGCCTTCACGTGGACGTGGAGAAGTTCAAGATTGTTGGCGCAAGTTGGTACTTGGCCCAGAAATATCTTGGTGTGCTGTTTGCAATCGAAGCGAGTCTAACCTGTATTCCACAATGGCCGAATACCGTTCAACTTATTTTGACAGAAATGGGTGCTCTTCTCTTTTTGAAGTTCCGTGCAAACTGTCACGCAAATTTACGCCACTATAAAGAGCTGTTTCCGTAATGAACCGGTCATAAATTTCGTTAACCAATTAAATCGCTCCTAATTTTTAAAACGCACTCCTGAAGCAGCGACATTTTTGTGGAACTCACTCCATTTGTTAATGCTCACAGCCTGCTTTCAATGAGATACGCTTTATTTGATTGCCATAGCAACGACAGTCGCAGACATTGCCAGTCTGGTAGTGCATTTTAATTCACTGTGTCGATTAATTTGGCATTGTGTTGTTTTTCCACACAACTCGACTCCACCTTGTTCGCGCATT